CCTCCACAAAAATCAACTCCTAAATTCCAATTCGATCACGGAATGAGGATCACAGGTTTGTTAGCCACTGGCTATTAAGTGCTGCCCTCGTGAAAAAAAGGACGTTTTTTTTAAGGCGAAGGGATTATCTGAGAATATTTACTGACCTGCATGTCTTGGAGCGGCCAGGTAAATATTCACCATAGTCACTGAGTCTGAGGTGAATAATTGTTTTAGTATAATTTTAGACTTGGATATCAGAGAATAGTCAAAATTCAGGTTAAAAAAGTTGTAGGTTATGGTATTACTTCTGCTCTGGCAAACTTCCCAGCTCAAGCAGTGATTATCAACTCATAAACACTGATCTCTCCACCAATCTCAGCACACATATGTGTCATCACTCTATATTCAGGTCTAAAATTATACTAATGTAGTTTTATTGTTATATTCCCAGGGTGATGACTTTCAAAGGAGACTGGACTCATTATCTCAGTTTCAACTCACAGCACTGTTACATGCTCTTTCCTTTCCATCTGTAAAGAAAGTTGTATATTCAACCTGCTCAGTCCATAGACAGGTAGTTATTGATTATTGCAATATTAATCAGTTCAATTACAGACTATTTTGTTATATAATACCTGTCATATCATTTTACTACCACTACCATAATAATATTTGTTGTGAATATTCTTTCTCATTAACTCATTCACAAAAATTCATTAAAAAATAAATGAATAAAATTTAAATAGGATTAAGCAGTGGCATTTCTACAGAGTAGCTCTTCATCCACTGTAATTGCAATTGGAATTAAGGAGTTGATTTTTGTGAAGGGAGGAAAGCCGGAGAACCCAAAGAAAAAACCCTTGAAGCACAGGAGAGAACCAACAAACAAGTCTACTCACCTACGACACCGAGCTGAATGGGACCTGAACCAGGTCACATTGGTGAGATGCGAGCGCTCTCACCGCTCTGCCACTTATGCTTCCCAATCATTCAAGATCTTAGGAAAGTTAGTGCTGATAAAGTGGACAAAAGAAAGTCTGCTAGGGTTTGTGGTAGTTGTAGTAAATGATGCTATAATAAAAAATGGACAATTAGGTATGATAAATGTAATGTTTTTTTGTTGTTTTTTTTTTTTGTAAAGGAAAATGAAGATGTTGTAAAACAAGCATTGAGTAAATCACAAGGGGAATTTGAATTATCTCCGATAATGGCAGCATGGACCAACAGGGGTCTTCCAGTATTCCCTGGTGGTAGGTATAATCATCATGCATCACGTGTCATCGCCATCATATTGGTGCATCATCTTCTTTACTTACCACTCATCATTATCTCCATCATTCCTACACATCATAATCATCATGTATCATCACCATCATATTGGTGCATCATCATCATCAC